ACGCTAGTTTGGTAGGGGTGAAGTGGCTTCATGCAGCAATAGACACCTGAGATGGGACCTCGACTGGGACTCTCCCAGGTCTATCTGACCTCCAAGCCTTTTCCTCCCCACTCTCACTTAACCAGTGGTCTGCCCTCTGCATGGACATTAGAACCCCCCAAGGAGCTTTTCCAGATGTTAATTAAATTAGAATATCTGAGAATGGGGGGGCCCAGAGTAGGTTTTTTTTTTTTTCTAAAGATTTTATTTTTTTCCTTTTTCTCCCCAAAGCCCCCCGGCACACAGTTGTATGTTCTTCGTTGTGGGTCCTTCTAGTTGTGGCATGTGGGACGCTGCCTCAGCATGGCTTGATGAGCAGTGCCATGTCCGCGCCCAGGATTCGAACCAACGAAACACTGGGCAGCCTGCAGCAGAGTGCGGGAACTTAACCACTCGGCCACGGGGCCAGCCCCTAGAGTAGATATTCTTAAAAATCTCCCAGGATCTGAGAACCACAGCTCCATCCACTGTTTCCAAAACTTGCCTAACGATAAGAAATGCCTGGCACACTTATTTAAAAGACAGATTCCTGAGCTCCAACGACACACTGATTCAGAATTCCCATGAGAAGGCCGTAGAGTTAATACGTTCCTCCTGGTGAATCTTATTATCAGTTTTAGAAGAGAAAGGGCGAGGGCTGGCATGGTGGCGCAGTGGTTAGGTTCACACCTTCCGCTTGAGTGGCCTGGGGTTCGCCGGTTCTGATCCCGGGTGCGGACATGGCACCGCTTGGCAAGCCATACTGTGGTAGGTGTCTCACACATAAAGTAGAGGAAGATGGGCACGGATGTGAGCTCAGGGCCAGTCTTCCTCAGCAAAAAGAGGAAGATTGGTGGCAGATGTTAGCTCAGGGCTAATCTTCCTCAAGAAAAAGAAGAGAAAGGGTGAGAGGAGAGTCAGCTCCCAGGTTGGGAGAACTGTTGGGCAGTTTCCTGTCAAATCAAACATAGGCTTACCAAAGAACCCTGTCATCCCCTCCTCGGTGTACAGAAATAAGTCCTTAAGTCCACCAAAAGACGCGCACAAGGATGTCCCTAAGAGCTTTCTTCATGATAACCCAAACTGGAAACATCCCAAATGGACACCCATGGGAGCACGGCCAGATGAATTGCAATATAACTACACAATGGACTGCGAGGGGGCAGTGAAAAAGCATGAAGCACTGATACACACAACACCATGGACAAATTGCTCAGACGTACTGTTGAGTGAGAAAAGCCAGACACAGAGAGTGCAGGTTCTACTTATAGACAGTTCATGGACAAACCAGACTAATGTGTGATGACAGAGATAACACAGCGGTTACCTGTGTGTGCGTGCCTATTTGTGCGAGGTTCCAAAGCTTGATGTGAGAGTGGATTTTCCTGTGTGTGTGTGTGTGTGTGTGTGTGTGTGTAAGTTCTGCTCCCTCACACGATGCCATCAGGTGCAAAGAGCAGGACTTGCATTTGGGGCCCACCTGAGAAACCTGTCTTTGTTCACTTCTTTGCTGTTTATTTGAGATACACATTGTACACTGAGACGTGCACAATAAAGGGAGCACATCTCAGGTGTACAGCCCAGTGAATGTTGACATGTTTCCATTGGGTATTTGACCTTGTGTGACGTGCTATTCTAGGCTCCTGCAAATGGAACCCAAGGCTTATATTTGCATGGGTTTTATAATTGTGTGTGGGAAATACGACAATACAAGACAGAACAGCAAGTGTGGCTTCATTCACTCGGCAGGGCTTTGTGAGCAGCCATTATGTGCCAGGCACTGAAGTAGGCCTGGGGGAGACAGCAGGAATGAGATCCAGCCCTGCCCTCTGGCGCCCAGTCTAGTCAAGTTCTGGAGGGCAGCACAGTGAGTGGCTAGATCTACATATTCCACCTCCTGAGTGTTTCCCAGATTCATTCTGATCTCCACCTCCCACTGACCCCGTCCTAGCTCAGACCCCCACCTTCTCTACGCTCTGGGCTATTGCAGTAGCTTCCCGGTTGATCATGTTTCCGGTCCTCCACCTCTGAGTCATTCTCCAGGCCAATAGCCCTCATTTAAGCGCTCAATCTGAAAGATCCATTTACTGGTTCCCCATTGACCAGGCAGCTCTGGTATTGCCTGTGTGGGCTTGAATCCTCACATAGAGGGTCTATACTGTGACCACAGGCAAGTTCTTTAAATGCCCTGAGGCTCATGTGTGTTTTCTGTAAAATGGAAATAAAATAACAATAATATTGATAAACAACATGACCTATCTCCCTGAAGAGGCTGAGCCTTAGTCTGTCATGATGGGATTCCCACAGCGTGTGCCCTCGGGCGCCCCATCTATTTGCGGCTCCCAGTCACTCTCACTGCTCGTTACTCTCCCCCTCTCTGTACCACCCAGTCATGCTGAGGTGCTTGCATTCATGCACCCTTTGCTTTCAAGGCCCCAAGCTTCTGCTCACATGCTCCTTCCATCTGGAATGCCTTCCCTCTACCTTCTCCTGGCTGGGAGTTCAGCTCAGAACTCGGCTCAGCCACTGCCTCCTCCAAGGAGCCGTCCCTGAAGCTGCATAAGGAGCCGGCTGCCCTTGTCTGGACCCTCACCACGCCCCGGATTGGATTTGTTTGTCCGCCTCCTGTTTCTTTTTGTCTCCACTTGCTGGAGTATGAGCTCCTTCTAGGCAGGGCTGAATCAAACGCGTCTTTATCCCCCAGTTGTGGGGCCCTCCCATTCAAGGCAGCTGCTGGATGTGTCCACCGACCTGAGCAGAACATCCCAAGCTTTTTCTTAAGGGAAGTGGCCTTTGCATTGACCTTGAGGCATGGGTAGGACTTTAAAAAATTATTTTACAAGTTGTATATACACACAATACCAATCTAAAAAGAACAAAAGGGCTTACAGTGAAAACTAAAAGTAGGCCGCCTCTCAACCACTCAGCTCCCCTCCCCAGAGGCGCCATTAGGATCAGTTTCTGAGTGTTCTATGCAGGCGAGAATTGTCTGTCTCCCCCCCACCCCACACAACCTTTTTTATTTTGCAAAAATTTAAACCAACAGAAAAGTTGCAAGAATCGTACAACAAACACCCTTTGCCTAGATTCACTAATTAACATTTTGCCACATTGCGCTAAATATTTTAGAAGCACTATATCATATAATGCTCACAGCCACCATACCATCATGCCAATTTTGTAGATGAGGTAACTGAGGCAGCCAGCAGGTGGAGGGACCTGCCCAGGGCTGCAGAGGCAGCGAGGGGTGGAGCTGGGCCTCCCGCTTAGGCTGCCCAGAACTTTGACCCACCTGCCTTCAAAGCTCCCTTTGGAGAAAAGCATTTTCCTACACTCAGTTGAAATCCACCTCTCTGAGATACTCACCAGATGATCAGTGGAAAAGTACACATCTCTGGGAGCATTTGCTACTTCTCTTAAAACCTTCCCACTCCCTAAGCAACAGCTGCTGTCACGGCTGCTAACACATGCTTCAGCGTCACCTCCTCCGTGAGGGCTGACTTAGCTCACCCCCTGTTTAGAAACTCCCCTCATGGACTCTGGCTGCCAGCAGGCTGACATTCACGAGCCCGAGCTCAGAATCCAAGGCCCTGGGTGTTCCAGCCCTCAGGCATCCCTTTAGCTTCATCCGTCCCTCTCCCTCCTCCTCTACCTCCACCTCTAGCCATTCTCAGCCTCTCAGTGGCTGCTTACCTTTCCCTTCCTCCTTGATGCCGCCCCTGATTTTCCCGAAGACCACATTTCCCCATCTCTGAGTTCTCGAACCTTCTGCCTGTGCCTCCTTTACAGTTTTCTCCAGGTGGTTGTTTGGCCACCAGACTGGACAGTGGAGGTTTGGAGCGTCAGCTCAGCCCCTCCTAGCAGAGTGCCCCTGCATAAATTACTGCAGGCGTCCGAGCCTTAATTTCCTCAAGCACGTAATGGGTGAAAGATGCCGTGCTCAGCACCTGGCAGAGAGTCGGCCTTCACTAATCGCCCATAATAGAACTGACAGCTCCTCAAGGCTGACATCTTCTCTTACTCATCCCTGGAAACCCTCCCTCCTATTTCTTCACATCTCCTCGCCTCAGTTTCCTCACATGTAAAATGGAGATGATGATGGAGAGGCTGTGAAACTTTAACGAGCTGATGCATATCGAGCGCCTGGACATTATCTAACCCTTATTAATAAGGCTAACTAGGACTCCTCCGACGGGGGGCCTGGCGCATAGTAGGTGTTAAAACAAGAACTCAGAGCTGGGCCCGGGTGTCCAGAATGGGCGCAGGAAGACAAGGCTAGAAGCGAGGTTTGCGGAGAGCCGGCTGGAGGTCTGCCCCGCCCCCGCAGCCCCCCGCCCCTTGCAAGTCCCCCGCAGGCCCCCGCCCCGGCCCCGCAGCTGTCAGGGGCTCAGCGGCCTGGGCGCCAGTCCACCAAACCTGAACGTCCCATCCCCGCGCCCCCACCTTCCTGCGCCTGCACAAGTTACCTTGCGCCCGGCGGCCCTTCGTCCCGCCCCCGGCTCCCATTGGCCAAGGGCTCCCTTTGTTAGCCGGGTAAGCCGCTGCCATAGGCCGGCAGGGCCGCCGGTCGCCCGGCCGCGGCCCCGCCCCGCCCCGCGCCGCCCGCCCGCCCCCGCCCGCCGCCCCGCCCAGAGCGCGCCAGCCGCCCCGCTCCCATTTGCTGCGGCCGCGCGGCGCCGAGGGCAGCGGCGGCGGCACCGACCCGGAGCTGCACGACCCGGCGCCGGGGGCGGGCGGAGCGCGAGGGGCGGCGGGCGCGGGCCGCGTCCATGGGCCTGCGGCGGGCGGGCGGCGGCCGTGCGGGCGGGCGGCGGGGACCTCGCGCTCTGTGAGGGCCGCGCGCGGGGCCGCCGCGCGAGGGGAGGCGCCCGCGTCCCGGCGCCCGCGAGGCCCCGACCGCCGCGCGGCCCGGTGAGAGGCGGCCGGCCGCGGGGCATGCGGCGGCGCCCGCGCTGAGCGGCCCGCCCGCCGCTGTGCATGCTGCCGCCGCCGCCGCGCCGCCCGCCGTCCGCCGCGCAGCGCGCCGGGCCGGGCCGGGCCTCGGGGCCTGCGCCGCCGCCGCGCGACCATGTCGGCGGCCAAGGAGAACCCGTGCAGGAAGTTCCAGGCCAACATCTTCAACAAGAGCAAGTGTCAGAACTGCTTCAAGCCGCGCGAGTCCCATCTGCTCAACGACGAGGACCTGACGCAGGTGAGCGGGCCGCGCGGGCCTCGCGGGCGCGGGTGCGCCGGCCGGCGGGGGGCCGTGCGGGGTCCGGGGCGCGGCGGGGCGGGGAGCGCGCGGGCGGCGCGGGACAAAGGGAGGCGCTCCGGTCGACCGCGGGGCGCCTCCTCCCGCTCCCCGCGGCCCGGCCGCCGCGTGAGTCGTGCCGGGGGTGCCGTGACTCCAACGTGCCTGCTTCTCCGCGGAGGGGACACAGGGCTCGGGAGGGGCCCGCCGCTGCCAGGACCCCGGCGTCTGTCTTGGGGCCGGGCTCGGACTCGTCCGCCCGGGGCGGCTGAGGCCGGAGGACTGTGCGGTGGCCCGTGGGCGCCCCTCTGGTCCGGCGCAGCCGCCCTCTTCCCCGTCGTGGTCGCCGTCGGCGGCCGGAGAGCGGGGCAGGGTCCCGAAGGCTGGCACGAGCGTCCGGCCTTCGAACTTCGGCTGGGGGGCCCGCTGTCGGCGGGGGCCTGGGGCTCCTCCCCGCCGGGCGCGGAGTGGGGACACGGGGTTGGCGGGCCGGGCCCCTTGCCTGGCCCGCGCTGTCGGGAGAGGGCTCGGACCCGTCCCGGAGCTCCCGGGTCGGCGTCAGAGCCGCCGCCTCCAACGGCGCCGAGTCCTGGGCCCGTCCCTGGAGTGGCTTCGGAGAGGAGGGCTTTGTGTGGTGACAGCGGCCTGGGAAGTTGGGCTGCGGTCCCCGGTGGCCCTTGGGGCCCTCAGCGGTCGCCTGCGCTCCTGGCGCCCAGGGTTCTCCGGAGCACGGGCAGGGCTTTCGGACGTGCGGGGTCCTTGCCTCCCTGACCCAGCCTCGTCTCCGTCTCCTCAGGAGGCGTCTGTGGCCCCTCCTTGCCGTCCTGCCCAGCCTCCATCCTCTAAGAGCTTTCCCTCCCCTCCCCGAACGAGACCGGGGGAGCTCCTTTCGCATTCCAGCCCGGTGTGACCCAGGTGTCGCCGTCCCTTTGCAGGAGAACCCCCGAGATGGAAAACATTGCTTTGAAGTGCCGCGCCTGGCTGTTTTTCATGGTGCTTAAGCGCTCACAGGGTTTGACTTGTTTACATGGCAGAGCGGAGTCGGGTGGCAGGGCAGGGGTTGTGGCCTGGGATGTGGTGCCTTCCTCTGAGGTCAGGTTCCCAGCAGCCAGCGAAAGACCCCTTTTATCTAAAACCAAAAGCTTAACCAAACACTCAAGGCTGCAAAGTCATAGATTGTCAGGGCAGAAGGGCCAGGTCAGCTTGGGAAAGGGTGGAACTCAGTTTCCTGGTGAGTTTTCTGGGGTGGGGGGTGGGCTTTAAGGGAGGTTCTCTCTTCTTGACTGGACGCCTTTTTCTGGGAAGCAGTTTGTGTGCTGATGAGGGTCCTGGACCAGGAGTCAGGAGACTTTGCTTCTAATCTTGCTGTTACTTTCAGCTGCACGACCTTGAACAAGTCCCTTTGTATAGTTTCATTTCCTTTTCTATGAATTGGGACTAGGGATCCTGGCTTACCACCCTCACCAGGCTGTCGTGGAAAGCAAGGAATGGTCTTATTCAACTTTTTTCTCTTACAATTTAAAAGACAGAAATTGCCTACCGAATAGTGAACTTGGGTTTAGGAAGTTTCTGGGCTTGGCAAGGGTTGTTCTGAGAGAGAGTCATGGTTACTCCAAGCGACTGCCAAAATTGGTAACTTGGGTATTTACACCTCATCAGGCCTGTTTTCTGATTCTTAAGCTTAGATGAACTAGAGTGAAATCTGCATATTTGAGCTGAATCTGTTAAAGATTAAAAAAAAATCTGTTGATTATTAATTGGATTCAGGAGAGGTTGTCAAAAATTTGAAGTACTTTACTCTTTTCATCGTATTCGCAGTTTAATTGTGGATTTTGACACAGACCCGAGTCTTCCAGGCCACAACTGGAATGGTAATTTCTGAAATAATGAGTGGGGTTATTGTGCTGGGAGAGATTAGGCCAGCCTTCTACCTCCTGGGATCTTTCAGGAAGAAACTGCTCTTGAAAAGAGGAGGAGGGAGACTCCAGGGCTGTTGCCAATAACCTTAGCTGCTGCTCTCTGCATCCGGCCCTCCCCCGGCCTCTTACTCTCATCCTCCTGGCTCCCTCAGAAAACCTCAGCCAGTCGCTTCCCATCAGTCTCCCCCCTGGTTCCTGCTTCCTGCTGCCCCTCCCCGCCCAGAGCTTGTTTAGACTGTCAAGGCTGGAAGATAGACCAGTGATCATTGAGGCCACCACCCTCTAAGGTGTTATCTTTCAGTCTTTCTGCGCATTTTTCTGTGTACCTGTGGATTCAAATACACGGTTAAAACCTTTTTTAAGCTAAACTGTGTGTATGTATTTGCAACATATTGTTTCTGCTTAATGACACATCTTAGGGCTCTTTTCATGGTATTACGTATAAATATACCAGAATCGTTTTGCATATTGTACCATCAGGGATGTCCCATGGTTACTTCCAGGTTTTGCTGTTATAAACAGTGAATGCTTCAGCAAACAGCTTTCTAAATGCTTTTGGGTGTGTGTGCGTGCACAAATGCAAGTATTTCTCTGGGGGCAGAGACCTAAAAATAGAATGGCTGGGTTGACATCAAGCACATTGAATTTTTTTAGATATCACCAAATTGCTTTCCAAAAAAGACTGTGTCGTACCATTGTCAGGATTGGCTACTGTCAGATGATTTAATTCTTTCATAATTTCCCTAATTACCAGTGAGATTAAGCTCTTTTTATAATATTTATTGAATATTTGTGGATTACTCATTCATATTGTTTGCACGTTTTTCTGTTCAGTTAGTTTTTCCTCCCTGTTGATTTGTAGGAACTTTCTGTATATACTCTAGGTTGGGGATTCACAACCTTTTTCTGTGAAAGGCCAGATATTTTGGCTTTGTGGGACCTGTGTTCTTTGTGGCACCTACACAGCTTTCCCCTTGTAGCATAGAAGCTACCGTGCAAAGCCACTGTAGACGATACATAAACTAACGGGTATGGCTGTTTCTAATAAAACTTTATTTACAAAGACAGGCAGTTGGCAGGATCTGGCCTGTGAGCCACAGTTTGCTGGCCCTGCTCTAGATATTAATCTGCCACCTGTCATAAATTGCAGGTATTTTCTCCCAGGGTGTCAGTTATCTTTTAGTTTCATGTGTGTTCATTTGTCTTTTTCATATGGTAGTTTTAAATATGAATGCTATTGCATTTCCATGTTTTCCTTTATATTTGGTAATTTTAATCTTACGCTTATGAAGGTCTTCTTTCTGGGATTATAAAATAGTCTCTGAGATTTTCTTAGTTCTCTTGCAGTTATTTTTATGCCTAGCTTTCTAATCCATCAGATTTATGTTTTAGGAAAATAATTCTGGCTGAAGGCAGAGCTCTAATAGGTGCTCTTGAAGTAGTCTAGTGGAGTGCAGAAAAAGTCTTCTCTAGGTTAGTGCTGGCCGGGAGGGGAGAGGCTCAAAGCCTAGGCACAGGGGGTTTGTAGTCAGTTGGAGGTAGGGATTGAAGAAACCTGGGTGGATAAAAGTACCTTTAACAAAGATTGAGAATACAGATTTGGAGTAGATTTGGGGCTTGTGGAGGGCTCAAACAGAATATGGTAAATTTGACCTCGTGGAGGTGGAAGTCCGGTTGGGTCCGTAGGTGGAATTGCCCACTCAGGCAGTATGTGGTTAGAGCTGGAGGTGGCATGGGGGCCGAGGCAGTCCTGGGAGTGAATGCGGTCACTCAGGAGGCCATGTAGACTGAACCAAGAAGTAGGGGGCAGGTGAGGCAGAGAGGTGAATCAGAGGGGTTGGTGGTTAATGGGAGCAGCAGGCCTGGAACCCAGGGTTCTCAGCTTCCAAAATTTCTTCCCATCCTCAGTGTCGGTCTCTGGGTTCCTGGTGGGTATTGACCTGACCTGATGTCTCATTCTCCTGACAACTTGTGCAACTTTAGGCATTGCCTTTTGTGGAAGGAACTTCGGTTCTAGTCCGGGGCCTACCACTTTTTTATTGTCGACCTTGGCTGGGTTGTTTTCCCTTCTCAGGCCTCGATTCTCGTCTGGAGAATGAGGTTGGTCTTGATCTCTCCCAAGGCTCGTCTAGTCCTCCTGCATCTCTCCTCGGACCTAGTCAGATCCTGCCCCTCGCCGTGCCCGTACTCCACTGCCAGGGCTGCTGGGGCATTGGGGTAGTGGGGTACACAGGTGGGTGGTCCAGGGCTTGGTCTCTATGAATCGTCTCATCTACTTTCCTTGTTCCTCTGATACTCTTATAAGTTCCAGGATATGGAACTTCTTTATTTGACTTCACATTTATGTCAAAGGCGGTGGGGTGATTTCATGCCCACCCTTTTAAGAATATTGGTAATTTATGTGCATATTTGTAGGTTGTTTGTCAAGGGGTGTGTCAAAAATCCCAGACCTTAAAAGTGGCCAACAAGCACATGAAAAGATGGTCAATGTGATTAGTCATTAAGGAAATGCAAATTGAAACCCCAATGAAATATACTTCACATCCACTAGGATGGCTGTAGTAGAAAAGGAAAACTAATAAGTGTTGGTGAGGATGTGGAGAAGTTGGAGCCCTCCTGCATTGCTGATAGGAGTGTAAAATGGACAGCTGCTGTGGAAAACTGGCAGTTCCTCAAAAGAATTACCGTATAGCCCAGTAATTCAATTCCCAGCATATACCCCAAAGAATTGGAAACAGGTATTCAAACAAATACTCTTATACATATGTTCATAGCACTATTCACAGTGGCCAGGAGGTAGTAATAACCCAAGTATCCATCGTGGATGAACGGATAAACAAGTTGTGGTATATCCATACAATTTTAGTCAGTTATAAAAAGGACTGAAGTACTGAGGCAGGCTACATGATTGAACCTCAAAAACATGATAAGTGAAAGAATCAGACACAAAAGGTCACATATCGTATGATTCCTTTTATATGAAATGTCCAGAATAGGTAAATCCATGGAAACAGAAAGCAGATTAGTGGTTGCCAAGGTTCT